TATGGAGATCAAAAGATACCTTATATGGTTTTTCTATACTGGGGTTCCAAGTATGGAACTCAGGTTGTTGAATTTGTCACCAAGTGGGCCCAGCCCTCTTTGGCAGCTTTTAAATTTTTCTACCCATTGTGCTCTGGGCTATTGATTTGCCTTTATATGGATCTTGGTCCTGAGAAGTCATGTGCTTTCTTCATCTTTTCCCGTTTCCTCAATCTCTGTCCAGGAGTCAGTCCTTGGGTTTTAAGGGCAATCCAATTCCTGTCCTCATGTTCTTTCCAAGTTTTTGTTCTCATTTTTAGACATTTCCCATTTTCTAGCGAGTCCAGAGGCTCATTTCCACTCTTAATGTTCTCATTTCCCATTTATCTCAGCCTTGACTTCTATGGCGGCACATCTTGACTGCTGGTCAAGTGACAGTCATTTACAGATAGGGCTCTGTGGATTTTAGGCCCACCTTGGGGAAGGTTTTTGTTTTTGTTTTCTCCCAAGACAGGGTTTCTCTGTGTAGCTTTGTAGATCAGGCTGGCCTTTGCCTCCCAAGTGCTGGGATTAAAGGCATGTGCCACCACTGCCTGGCGCCATAGCTTCTTGATGTCACCTGGTCTACTTGTACCTTCAACTCCCCAGGGCTTCCTCAGGTTCCATCTGATGGGCATGGGTCCTGGCCCTGCTCACTTGTACCCCAATCTTCCTCAGTCTGGAACCTGTCTACGCTGTCACTTTCTATAGGTGCCCGGATGTACTTGGCCTTGGTGCACAGAGTTCTGATCTAGCCAGGCTCTTGGTGCTGGGAGATGGATGTGCTCTCTTAGGATGAGTGCCCTTCCTCTTTCAGGGGAAGCTAGGCTATTGTATCCAGCTGAGGGAAGTTTAGCTGTCCTTGAAGTATGGAGGGGCTGCTTTCTTGCCAAAGCCCAGATATGCAGAACAGCTCTGCCCTCTCCACCCAGGCTGGGGGACTGCGATGTGACCGACAATGGTTGCAGCAGCCTTGCCACAGTCCTGCTGCACAACCGCAGTCTACGGGAACTGGACCTCAGTAACAACTGCATGGGGGACTCAGGTGTCCTGCGACTGGTGGAGAGCGTCAGACAGCCCAGCTGTGCCCTTCAGCAGCTAGTGTAAGTGGAGGTAGTTGGTGAAGGTGGGGTGACAGGGGCTGCCTGGGCTCAGGGGATTCAGACAGGAAGGTAGGAATGGATGAGTAAATAGCGGCACCCCAACTCACTCTCTCCTGCCTGCCCATGTACAGCCTGTATGACATTTACTGGACGGAGGAGGTAGAAGACCAGCTGCGGGCCCTGGAGGAGGAAAGGCCATCCTTGAGGGTCATCTCCTGAGATGTGCACCTCTGGACACACGACATTAATGCAGCCCCAGGATGTCTGGCTCTGGGTGTCCTAGTGTTGACTGGGGATAAGCAGTGTAATCTAATTACAGCAGAGAACTTGAGACACTTTATAACTATTAAAACACATGTAGGCAAGAAAGGCCCTGTCATTCTTTGTGGACCTGTGTAGCTATGCTAGGACTGCTTTCTGTGTATGGGCAGTTCATTCTTATGCTATCCTCAGTGGTGGGTCATTAATCAGTATCCAGTATGGCCTTTTAAAAACCAGGGATTTGCTACTGTGGCCCTGGACAGCCTTGAATTTGGGCATACTCTACTGCCTAAGTGTTGGGACTACAGACATTGTAGAAGGGAATCCCAGCTAGGTGCCATTACACTTTGCTCCAAAGCAGTTCTCCCCACTACCCCCAGGGTTTCTCCATGGCTTTGGAGGCTGTCCTGGAACTAGCTCTTGTAGACCAGGCTGGTCTCGAACTCAGAGATCTGCCTGCCTCTGCCTCCCGAGTATTGGGATTAAAGGCTCACGCCACAACTGCCCAGCTCCAAAGCAGGTCTTAAAGGGACTGTGAAAGCTGAATCTTCCTCCTGCCCAAACTGAGTAGTTAGTGAGGATGATCTCTTTCCTGTACCTGAAATCCCAGAAGACTGGGATAAGATTCAGTGGTGGAGTTCTAGTATAAAAAGGGTTGAAAACAAAACAAACCCCAGGAGATCAAAATCTCTAAAGTCTAAAATCCCCAAATTTATAAAACGATGAAATCTTCAAAGTAAAACTGCCAAAGTAATTTCCATGACTAAAAGTGAGGAATGAGAGAAGGGTGGGCAGTCAAATTCTAGAAGAAACTGGCTATGTGATGTGGCAAGTATGAAAGCTAGGGGGCTTTATTTTTATTTATTTATTAACTTACTTATTTTGTTGTTTTTGAGACAGGGTTTCTCTGTGTCTTGGAACTTGCTCTGTAGACCAGGCTGTCCTGGAACTCAAGAGATCTGCCTATTTTTAAGATTTTTATTTTATGTATCATGAATGACAATTGTGAACTGCCATGTGGATGCTGAGAACCAAACCCAGGTCTTTTGCAAGAGCAGCCAGTGAGTGCTCTTAATCACCGAGTCACCTCTTCAGTCCTTATTTACTAATTTTGGGTTTTTGAGACAGGGTCACATTATAGCTTTGGCTTGCCTGAACCTGCTATATAGACCAGGCTGGCCTCAAACTCACAAATATCTGTTTGCCTCTGCCTCCCAAGTGCTGGGATTAAAAGTGTGCACTATTGTAACCATACACTTTTAAATCTCTTTGTTTTTCCTTTTGTATAGCCCTGGCTGGTCTTGAACTCACAGAGATCCTCCTGCTTCTGCCTCCTGAGTGCTGGTTTTAAAGATGTATGCTACTATAATCCAGCTAAATTTTATTTTTCTTGGGGCTGGAGAGATAGCTCAGTGGTTAAGAGCACTGGCTTCCAGAGCACTGCTCTTCCAGAGGACCTGGGTTCAATTTCCAGCATCCATACGGCAGCTCACAACTGTAACTTCTTTTCCAGGAGATCCAATACCCTCACACAGACATACATGCAGACAAAACACCAATTACATAAAATATAAACAAATTACTTTAAAAATTATTTTTATTTATCCATTTATTTCTGGTCTTTCTTTCTTTCTTTCTTTTTTTTTTTTTGAGACAGGGTTTCACTAGGTATTAGCTGACTTCAAACTTGCTAAATAGGCCAGGCTGGCCTTGAATTCACAAGATCCGCCTGCTTTTGTCTCCCAAGTGCAGGGATTAAAGGTGCGTGTCACGACAAGACAAATTTATTTTTATTTTTATGTGTATGGATGTTTTGCCAGTATGTATGTCTATGTCTGATTCCCTGGAACTGAGTTATAGTCATGTGGGTGCTGGGAACAGAACCTGGGTCTGCAGGGATTAAAGGTGCGTGTCACGACAAGACAAATTTATTTTTATTTTATGTGTATGGATGCTCTGCAAGAGCAAATGCTCTTAACTGCTGAGTCATCTCTCCAGTTCCCAAATGGCATTTTTTTTTTTTTTAATATAAGTTCTCACTAGGCAGTGGGGGTGCATAATTTTAATCCCAGCATTCAGGAAGCAGAGGCAGGTGGATCTCTTGAGTTCCAGGCCAGCCTGGTCTACAGAGTGAGTTACAGGACAGCAAGAGCTATACAGAGAAACCCTGTCTCAAAAAACCAAACCAAAACAAAACAAAAAAGCAAGCAAACATACAACCAACCAGCAAGATGTCACCTTACTTCATTGACAATGGCTGTTATGAAAAAGGTGAGAGACAAGTGCATGGTGCTGGAGAGATGACTCAGAGGTTAAGAGCACTGGCTGTTCTTTCAGAGGTCCTGAGTTCAATTCCCAGTAACAACATGGTGGCTCACAATCATCTACATGCCAGAACACTGTATGCATAATAAATAAATAAAATCTTTAAAAACATGAGGGGGGAAAAGTGCTTGTTGCTCTTGCAGAGGACCTGGGTTTAGTTCCCAGCACTCCTATGTTGGCTGTCAACCATCTCTTAACTACAGTTCTAGGGGATCCAATGCCGTCTTCTGGCCTCAGGTGCTTATGTAGTGTACACATACATACATGCAGACAAAACACTCCTCATACTCATAAAATGAATCTCTAAAAAATTTTGCCAGGCAGCGTTAGTACACACCTTTAATCCCAGTGCTCAGGGGGCAGAGGCAGACAGATCTCTGAATTTGAGGTCAGCCTGATCTACAAAGCAAGTTCCAGGTCAGGGCTACAAAGAGAAACCCTGTCTCCAAAAACCAAAATAAATAAATAAAATAAATAAATAAATAAATAAATACAAAACTTAAAGATGGAGCTATGGTATGGCCCATATCAGATATATCTGATGATATGGCCCATATCATCAGATGCACATATAAAGCAAACTAAAATCTGTTTGTCAGAGACATCTATACTGCCTTCATCACTACAGTAGTGGTCACAGCCATAAGAAAGTTGGGCTGGGGTGGGGAGGGGTAGAACACGGTGTTGGAAAGCTGGGAGCTAACTACTACCTCTAACTTCAGCTCCAGGAGATCTGATGCCCTCTTTTGGCCCCCATGGGCACCTGCACTCATACAATTAACCATATACATAAGAAAAAATTAAATGTTTTTTAAAAGAATTTTTTAGTCAGGCATAGTGGCACAAACCTATAATTCCAGAAATTGGGAGGCTGAAATAGGACTGGCAAGAATTTGAGGCCATAGTCTGAACTATGCAACAAAATCCTGTCTCAAAAATCCCAAGAAACAACATGTTGCCTGAGTAGATTAAGAGACAAGTCTTGTACATTTGCATTTATGGGACAACTGAACGAAGACAAGTGGTTTGTCATTGCACACCTATGGCTGCAACTACAAAGCTAGGTTCATAGTCATCTCCCATGATCATCCTTCAGTGATCACCCATCCCACCCCCAGTGAGAGACAATGTGGCAGGCAGGGGTAGCTGCCCTCGGAGAACTGTGTCCCACAAGCCCTTGAAGCCTTGTGAGAACTACATCCTGGACACACACCCAACTCCATATGGATGGAGAAATCCCTTCCTCTGCAGGGTCCCTGGGAGCATGGGCAGAGAAGGCAGCCAGAGGCTATGCACCTTCATCATCACTTTATTTGTTCTGTTTGCTCAAGAATATGACTATAAACTCTGGGAGCCATGGTGACAACACAACCCTAGCACCTGTGGTATACAGGTCTCCAAGTTGGACTCTCTGACTTGATATCTCTCAAGAGGCCCATCTGGTGACCCCCTCCATTACACACCCTCAGCTTAGAGTCCTGGTTAAAGAAGGCTCCAAAGGCCACAGCTCAGTACTGACTCCAGACCCACCACTTTGAGACCATCTTGGTGTTGTAACATCCTTCACTTCTGCTGCTGCAAGTTGGGTGAGGCCACAGGGTGCATGGGGCTTCTGTTTGCCCCACAGAGGGTAGAGAAAGAGTACTGACATGCCTCTCCTGGCCTGTGCTGAGACTGAACACAGGAGAGACCATGGGCCAGTGCCTTGGCTGACCAGGTAGAAGGACAGGGCAGGACCCTTGCTCTAGAGCAAGCTCCAGGCTCACTGAGGAGCTCACAGCCCTGGAGACGTGTCAGGAGCCAATATGTGCACACACCTACCTGCACACAAACATGTACACTCAGGTGCCCCTGGTGGAGTTGGGAATGGGCCCCCCACCTCCTCTGAAGCAGGGAGCATAAGGACGGGAGAAATGGGACAGCCCTATGGCAGGCATAAGGCCAGTAAAGAGGGAGAGGATCATGAGGCGGCTGAGGCCCCCTCCTTTTCAGCAGGTACACTGTCATTGGTGCTCCCCTCTTCCTCTGCAGTCCCAGTCCCTAGCAGGTCATCATCCGGCCCTGGGTGCCCATCCCCATTGTTGATGGCTCTGCCCTGGTGACTCTGCTGCTTCTGTCGCCGGGTCTCCTTGTACCTCATGGTGATGTCCCTGTAGGGCAGCAAAGCCACCTCACCATTTATCCCTGCAGCAGCCCCCAGCACATGCCCCAGACACCTGGACACCTTTGCTCTGTAAGAGGCTACAATTCTAGGAATGGCTGAGTAGAACTTAAGCTGAAGTGTCAGCTACAGGCAAGGCAGGCCATCTTGAACCTTAAGAACCTGAATCCACCAGGTAGAGCCAGAGACTCAAAGAGTACAGGGGCCAAGGCAGCTAGAGCCACAAGACAAGGGTGGGGAATCGATGGAAGGGGCAGACAGCACTCACAGTGAAGCTTGAAGGCCTGGGGTCCCACCCCCACTCACCGCAGGAAGAAGCGCCAGACAGTCCACGTAAGCACCAGGATGGAGCCAAGAGTCCAGCACTGGGAGATGTAGAAGGGCAGTGACAAGGTGAGTGTGTGCGGGTCATACTTCACCACGATGAGCAGCTCTGTGACTGTGATGGCCGCCACCAGCCAGGCCTGCTGGCCCAGCTTCCTGTGGGGCTTCCTGCAGAGAGGCAGCAGCTGCCTGGCTTGCTCAGCACCCCAAATGCCCTTGGGGCTCCCAGACTCCAGCCTCCCACCCCCTAGGCCTTATGGACGCCCTCACAGTTCATCCATGAAGTCATAGATCTCACGCATGGCCACACCACCCACGTTCACGAAGAAGACCAGGCGCAGGAGGACCAGGTAGTGTTCAGGGGGCATCCACAGCACAAACTTCAGGTAGAATGTGTTCAGCTCTGCCAGCAGGAACTAGAGGATGGGAGAAGGTCAGTTCGTCAGTTGAGAACTAACCATTGGTGGTGTGTGGACACACAGTCACCAGGATGGGAGAAGGTCAGTGGGTCAGTTGAGAACTAACCATTGGTGGTGTGTGGATACACCGTCACCAGGCTGCTGGGACTTACCACCAAGATGATGCCACACACGGCCAGCCAGCGGTGCAGGCTGGAGGCTGGCTTCCACTCAAAGCGTACCCAGCTGTAGGGCGTGAACTGAAAAGCAATCCTCTTCATCTTGCCCCTGGGAACCAGAGAGCCAGGAGCCTGAGGACAATGGCCAGGTCATAGAGCTACTGCCAGAATTTGTGAGCCAGTGCACATTGCCCTCCTCAGTAGACACAAGGCTCTGTCCTGTTCAAAATCCCACACAGCTACAGAGGAGGCTACTCGCATGCCTGAGGCACCCAAACAGGAGGGGAACCTCATTCCTTATTGTCCCCAGGTTTTTCCTCTTTTGTCATACCAGGGACCAGGGTCTCAATCTTCTTGTCCTCTACCTCTATGGTGCTGGGACTATCTAGAGCTCCTTCTCTCTTTTCCTTTTTTTTAATTTATTTTTTTGTTTTATCCAGGTTCTCTATTATGTAGCTCTGGCTGTCCAGGAACCTGCTATATAGACCAGGCTAACCTAGAACTCTATCTTCCTGCCTCTGCCTCCCAAGTGCTGGGATTAATGACATGCACTATCTCACCTTTGTTGTTGAGACAAAGTCTTAACTGTGTAGACTAGGCTGGCTTCCAATTCATAGAAATCTTCCTGCCTTCCTGGGATTAAAGGTGTATGTCACTCTGCCTGGCTTGAAACAAGGTTTCACGCAGCTAAGGCCAGCTAGCCTCAAACTTACTATACACCCGAGGATGACTGAATTCCTGGTCTGCCTTTACCACCCAAGTGCTGGGATTACCGCACATTTGGTTTATGTGGTTTGGGGGTTTGAACCTAGGGCTTCAGTTATGGCAGGTAAGCACTCTACTGAGCTATAACCTCAGCCCCCACTTCTCCATGGTTTTGAGGCTCACTGGATTGCCTAGACTAGCCTTAAACTTGTGTGCTCAAATAATTCTCCTGTGTCAGCTGCTGAAGCAATGGAATCTGTAGGTGTATACTATTTCTGGATCATTTTTTTCTTTTCTTTTCTTTCTTTTTCTTTTTCTTTTTTTTCAAGACAGGGTTTCTCTGGGTAGCTTTGGAGTCTATCCTGACACTAGCTCTGTAGACCGGGCTGGCCTCAAACTCACAGAAATCCGCCTGCCTCTGACTCCCGAGTGCTGGGACTAATGTCGTGTGTCACTACCTACTCACAGAAATCTGCCTGCCTCTGCCTCCCGAGTGCTGGGACTAATGTCGTGTGCCACTACCGCCTGGCTTATCATTGATTTTTCTTAAATATCACAACTAGCAGAGAAACTGGGTATAGGGGTACACAGTAGTACTCGCAGGAGTTGGGAGGTGGGGCGAGAGTCACTCTAGATGACAGTTTGAGGCCAACTTGAGTGGTATGAGAGGTGGACTGAAGAGGCCCATAGCCTCTTGAGAGAAGCAGGCCAGGGGGACAGATGGAGGAGTAACAACAGTTGACTCTACCACCCACTCTAATGTCTGAAGGACAAAGACCCATCTTGCTTGCCACCCTCCTGAAGCAGCGAGGCCTTGTGCTTGGGGGCCCAATGCTCTGTGGTTCCCTCTACAACCCCCAAGATGTACTTGTAGGTTGGAATGTTCCAGAGGCCCTGCCACTTATATGTCTTCAGGGACAGCCACTCGAGGGTCTTCATGCCACAGTAGATGCCCAGCCCGTTGCAGATGAGTACGTCCATGATCCACTGGGTCAGGAAAGGAGAGGTGTTAGCGTTGGGCCTGAGACGACAGGCCCAGGCCCCCCAGGCCGCGCCCTGCCCGCTGCGCCTACATGATCCCACCAGCACTCGCTGAAGTTGGGCAGCTGGTGCTCCAGGCTG